TCCAGAAGACAGCAGGAGCCTGAGCTGACTGAGAAGATGATGGAAAAACAGAGCTGATTTCCCCGGAACACCCAGAAAAACATTCAGTGAGCAATATGGTTTCAGCATGACATGTCCCCATAGGCTCATGTGGTATGTATTGGTCACCAACTGGCAGTATTTGGGGAGAGGTTATGGAACCTTTGGGAGGTAGGACTTAGCTGAAGGAAGTAGACTGCTGGGAGAGAGTCCTTATATAACCCTAGTCCGCCTTTCCCCTTAGAAAATGGGCCAAAGTCTTTGAAGCTATGAACAAGATTAATTTTTCCTTCTTTGGGCATTTTTGTCATAGTGATGTGGCGGTAACTAATACAGTGGGTAGGGCTAGGCATTCTCCAGATTTTTCTCTTCTCTTCACATAGATCCAGTGACTAGTGACTTTCATAAGTTTAGTGGAGTGTGCTTAGGTCAGATATGGAGAGCTCTGCTAGTTTTCAGGGGCTCTGCTCAGGGAAGGACAAAGGCAAACAGCCTTCTGCTCACCCAGGCAGGCCAGTAAGGCATAGTGGTCTGCCTTCAAGGATTCTGACAGCTGCACAATGTATGACTGACAATAACTGTTCTGGACCGTCCCCTGCAGTTACTTACCTTCCTGGCCAGATGAAAGCTCAGGACAGATTCAAATTTTATTTGGAGAAATACAAGCAATGTGAATCCAGATACTGTGGTGGCTATAAATGTGCCTGATATGATGACATGATTTATTATTAAAGGGTTGGGAGAAGACTCTTTTGTTTGTAAGTGGAAAGGAGGAACACAAACTTATCAAACCCCAACTTTATCCCCATAGAGTTGTCTCCCTTACTAGGCCAATAACAGGAATAGAAAAGGCTCCCAGAAATTGAGTCATCTTCCTTATGGGCAGACCATACACCAGTACAAATGTAGATATTTACATTTCTATTAGAGCTGGGAGGACATCTCTTATATTTTTGGTTGTATGCCTAGCCTTTAATGGCTGAGCCATCTCTCCAGCCCGGGAGGACATTAGTCAGGGGATGGACACTGTGTTAGCATCAGTGTTGGACAGCAATAGGTTTTAACCCACTTCTGCCATCCAAAGTTGTTCAGTTGGTGCCTGGATCCATGGATTTCACAGCTAGAGATTCAAATAACTGAAGATGGAGTATACACAAAAAGAAAACTGAGTTTACACTGAGCACATACAGACTTTTCGTATAATTACTCCCCAAACAATCTAGTTGGCAGATATTCACACAGTGTTTGGGTTATGTCATGCTTGGCATTCTAAATAACCTAGAGATGACATAAGAGCACGTGAACAGGTTACATATGCAAATAAGGCCTATGAAGAACTTGAGTATTGAGGGGTTTTGCTGCTCTTTGATGGGTCTTAAACCTGTCCCCTGTGAACATCAAGGGAAACTTGGACAAGTTTCTTCACTTTTCCAAACCTTTTTTTTTTTTAAACCAAGTACTTGGAATTAGTGATAGCAATATCATAGAAAGGTTGATAGATTAGCAGAGATCATGTCTACACATCACTTACATCAGTATGCAGTCAACAATGCGAACTAATAGGTGGCAGGTGTTATTATTAGTAGTACTGTTAATTCTTGTGTAGAGTCTAGTGGGGAAAGATGTTTCAACCCTAATGCATTTTTAAGAATCCTTATACTCTCATCAGTAGGAAAGTTGTAGGATATTTTCATTCCACTTGGCATAGACCCATTATGGCTGCTAGCAAAATTGGATTGGTCATTAGGTGTCAAATACAATTTCTTTATAGATTCAAGAAGTAAAATATGAGAAAATCCTCCCAAACTGCATTGCAGAAATCCCAAGATGCCAGCAGCAAACTTTCCCTTGATGTAAATCCTACGAGGCTGGCTCTGGCACATTAAAAACACCAGCTCCCAATTATCCCCCCAGCAGAGTTTGGAGCACTTCCTTCCTTCTTTCCTTCCTTCCTTCCTACCTTCCTTCCTTCCTTCCTTCCTTCCTTCCTTCCTTCCTTCCTTCCTCCCTCCCTCCCTCCCTCCCTTCCTCCTCTCCCTCCCTTCCTTTTTTTCAAAGACAAAAAGTAATCATAGGCATCTTGTTGCTTTTCCAATTGATTTTTACTTTATCATAGCATAGGGGTCTCTACAAGACCTTAGGCTAAGCATCATCATCTCCACTGTGTGTTGTTGGCTCTTTTCTCCTTTCACATAGGAATCTCCTGTGCACTTGGCAGAGAAGGAACCCCTGATGACGAATGGGTGCTCTTATTGTGTTCTGGTTTGACTGTTTGCCTTGAGGTTGGGTTATGCCTCAGAACTTTTTCCTATGAAGCACCCCATTTCTGATGGGGTTGTCCTGTTTAGCACAATTGCCAACTCACAATTACAACAAACAGATGCCTGAATGTTCACATGGCTCACCATGGTTTTAGATGTCTTTATTGAACAGAGGTGTAAGGGCTATGGCAACAGCTAACTTGTCACTGATGGAAAGACCTTTCTCGGCCATCTAAAGTTTTCTTTCTGAAACTCAGAGCCCTTAAGGGTTCCTAGAATCAGCCTCCAGCCAATAGCTCCTGAGACTTGTCACCAAAGAAAAACAATGCTTCCTTGGGACCCTGAAGTAATGCATGATGTGCATGTCTTAAAAAGGCTTAACAGAGTGGGAAAACAAGATGTGGTCTCAGAAAGTGGAAAGGGACATAGACAGTAGGCCCAACAACACAGGAGAACTCATTTGATAATAATGAACACTGTCAAATAATTTGATGCACTGGCACCATGCCAAACAGTCTACTGATTATCAACCAACAGGTCTAGGGTGCTTGCTAGGTGCCAGGACTGTGCTAATCACTTAGTAGGAACTAATAGCCCTCTTATCACTACCACCACACGCAGACTCTGAGGCTCAGAACTGGTCCCTGAGATCATTTGGTTGGTGAGCACCATTCCACTTTGGGCTAATGATCCTTATACAAAGACTGGAAATAATGTGTCAATGAGACTGAAGTTGGAGGCAACCAACACAGAACAGATAGGAGTGGCTTTTTCCAGAGGGCAGCTTCCTAGGAGGGGTATGTAAATATGTTAAGGTTGGGATATTTTATAGATCTCAAGGAGGAAATTCCCTTCCTGAATGGGGCAGCTTCCAACTTAATGTGCATGATCAGGACACTGTGATCTTGGAAACTATAATTTGAATGTTGATGTGGGAAAGCATCTTATTTATTTATTTATTTATTTATTTATTTATTGTTTGTTTGTTTTTCTATACAGGATTTCTCTGTGTAGTCCTGGCTGTCCTGGAACTCCCTCTGTAGACAGAGATCCTTCTGCCTCTGCCTCCTGAGTGCTGGGATTAAAACTGTGTGCCTGGCTGGGAAAGCGCTTTATAATGGCAAATATGTAAATCTGACAAAGACTTTCCCTCTCTTTTTAGATCTAGACCCTTGGGAATGTGACTGAAGTGGCCCTGAATTCAGGGTTTCTAAAGTATGTCCACCAACATTTTCTGATGGCAATGACAGATTTATCTTCTAGAGACCTGGGCATTGCTCCAAAGTATATTATATCTTTTAAATTTTGTTAAGAAGACATATGAGAGGCAAACAAAACCATAATGAGACCTACTTCAAACACATTAGGATGCCTATTATCAAGAGAACAGAAAGTAACAAACATTGGTGAGATGTGAAGAAATCAGAAATTCATTGTTGGAGAGAATGAAAAACAGTACAACCATAGTAGGGAACAATGCCAGTAGAAAATAGAATTCCATGTAATCCAGGCCCCCTACTCATGGTGGATAGATACTCAAAAGAATGAAAGCAAGAGATATTTGTGTACCTGTGTGAGTATCAGAATAACATACTCTGGTCCAAAGGCGAAGACAGCTCAAGTCCGTCCACAATGGCAGACAGATACAACGTGGAATGTACATTTGAGTATTATTTGGCTTTAAAATTTAGGAAGGGCCTTCTGATGTATGCTATATGGATTAAACTTGAGGACTATGCTGCGTGAAATATACCAATCATATAAAGACAAATATTGTATATGAAGTACGTAAAGCAGCCAACTTTATAGGCAGGGGAGGGAATACAAGAGGGTCTTCTTTTAATGAGTATAGAGTATCATGTTGGCAAGATGAAGAGTCCTAGAGAGTTGTACAAGATGTGAGTGTGTGACTACCACCAAACAATGTACTTTAAGTTGGTTAACACGGAGGCTCGAGAACTGGCTCAGTAGTTCCATTCCCAGCACTCACTTGGAAAGTCACAAATGTCTATAGCTTAAGTTTCCAGAGGACTGGACACCCTCTTCTGCAAAACAGTAATAAAACTGTATTTGTCTCAGAGGTTCATTGTATAGACTGTGTGAAATTCTCACACAGGTGTATAAATATATTACATAAAGCAATGCCCAGATCAGCAGAGCACATAATAATTAACTCTTATGAACTTAGAGAGGGACTTCCTACTAGGCAGTACATTATTGTTCATATGCATTTGTATTTATTTTTATTAGCAGAAATTTAAAACAACTCCCTCAAGTTCCAAAGCCAGAAAGTGGTCAAGGTGGGATTCATAGTCAAGCCACCTGGCTCACCAGCCTGTGTTCTTAGCCACTGGGATGCACAGGCCCTTCATGCCGAGTTCTTTGATGCCTTTTGACATTTAAATTGGGTTTCATGTCTGCAAGTGGAGAAAACCATCAGTGAGTGGAGAAAACCATCAGTGAGTAGAGAATGGGGTCAACACTTTCAGGAGTGATAGCAAGAAAGGAAGTGCCTCTAAAATGGGCTAAGGTTTCACGTGAGGCTCCTCGGGGACCTGTCCCACAAGAACAAGGTTTGGCTGTGGATCATGAGTGAAGTGTGGGAAGAGACTCCAGCACAGCTGGTCTCGAAATTCCCACATCCTTGCTTTGGGTCCCTTGTTGGACTGTAGCAGGGACAGCAAACGCAAAGCTGGTCAATGGGCATGAGGAGTGACTTACCGGTCGGGGCAGACTGTATTGGTACATTTCTGGGCGGTAGGTGGGCACCCACTGCACTCCAGCCCTGGGCCGTGTCATGGTCCCCGGAGCACTGGTCACCACCTCTGAATATGGCAGGTGCTGAGTAGAGCCATAGGCCTCCGGGTGCCGGCTTTGGCCTGCGTGGCCAGCGGATGCCAGGCTAAAAGCTTCCTCTAGAAGCATGTGCATCTGTTGCCGGACTTCGTCGATGGAGGGCTGCGAGCTCAGTGTGGAGGTCTCTGAGTGGCCTTTCACCTGCCGTGCCCTGCCGTAGCCCCGGGGCTCATGGACTCTGTCCACATTGGTTTCCTCTATGATCTCGGGTTCGGTCTGTGGGATCAAACAAAGTCCAGCAATTTGTTAATGAAGCTCTTTAATGAATCCTAAAATGTTCACCGTGACTGATGAAATAATGAGCCTGTGCTAACTTAGGTCATATCCAGGAATTCCCACAGCAGGAACAGTCGACTACGGGACAGACTGCACTCCAACTGCCATTGTAGTCTTCAGGTGTGCACAGCTATACCAGCCCTGCAGACTTGTTAATTAGCATAATAATGAGTAATGGCTTTCACTGATTAAATTAAAGGCATTCTCAAAAATCTAGATGCCTTTGGGTATAAGAATATGGAACATTCTGTAGTCTACACCCCAAAGGATGGCAAACCACTTTAAATGAGCCTGAGTCCAGCTGTTGGTTAGGGAATTCCTGGTTTCCTGATTCCATTTATCATGGAGCGCATCTTCCCTCTACAGAGATCATCTACAAGTGTAATCTGGCATAAATGAAAAGCCCAGGATGGAACCCAGTACCCTGCTTTCATGAGCATGCCAGGAGAATCTGATGACTTCTTAAGTTTGAGATCTATTGATCTAAAACATTCTCTTTCCCCTGCACCCACCATTGAGGGAGTAGGAGCAGAACTGAGGGGGATAGGGATAGACAACTGAACCTTGTTCACTTCCAGAGAAGTCTACACGGACTGTCAGTTTAGGTTGCCTGTTGAAGGTATGTGTAGAAAACTGTATATTCTGTTGTGTGGGATGCCTGTGAGGGCTCATTCTTCACCAGTTCTATGGGAAGCATATAAGGACTTGTAAGGAGTACTGTTTTTTCCTCCCGCCATCTAGTTTTGTCCCGCTGCTGTGCCAGCCCCAAATAATACACAGAGACTCTGTATTTGATATTATGCTGTTGGCCAGTTACTTGTTTCTTATAGGCTAGCTCTGTCTTAAGTATTAACCCATTTCTATGTATTTCCACGTGGTCTTACCAGCGAGAGGCAGCTGGCGGTTCTATTCTCTCCAGACTCTCCATCTTTCCTCTCCTTCCTCTTTCCTCTTTCCTCCTAGTACTGCCTATCTAGCTTTCCTATTGGCCAACAGTGCTTTATTTATTAACCAGTATGAGAAACATATACAGAATGACATCTCCCATCATCTCCTCTTTTCTGTCTAAAATAAAAAGAAGGGTTTCAACCTTAACATAGCAAAATATAGCACATAACAGTTATCAAATAAGAATCACAGTTAACACTATTTAGTCCATTAACATTTAGCAAGATTTGAAGAAAATATTCCATCATCTATCCTATCTTTGTGTGTCTAAAAAGTCTTTGTAATTTATCTTTAATACTAAGGAAAACTATAACTATAATTATCTGTCTTCAACTCCTTCAAAGACAGACCATAGAATGATAGTCTATAAACCCTAGAAATGACAGAGACAACTCATTTCCTGGTCACCCAAAGTTCTTTTGTAATCTTCCATCTTCAGCCCATAGGCCATAGTGTGTCTGGCAGACTCTTCAGCAAAGCAGGAAACTTTAAACTGTCTTCTTGTATTGGCAGTTTGTCAGTCACTTTTCTCTGTGTCCTGTAGACTGTCTGGCAGACTCTTCCATGAAGCAGGAACTCTATAGCAATGTCCATCTTGAATCAGCAGTCACTTTTCTGTGGGTCCTGCATGTCCAGTTTATACATCACAAAGTCAAACAGTCCAGACAAGAGCAGTATCTTGTCCAAATGGCTAGTCTTGCCATATTGGAAGCAAACTCCATAAGGAGTTTCTTCAATGTCCATCTTCCTTTCTGGTGCAGGTGGTATTGCCAAGAGCAATTATGTCTCACTGTCACAAAAACCCTAAACCATTTTAAACGCCACATTCTGTAGGTCTTTGAAAGGTTTGAAGAATGCCTATTCATCTCAAATACATCTCTGTATATCTAGAAAACCTAACTAACTTAACTGTAAGTTTTGACTATTATAGGTAACTATCTATAATCTGTACTAAATTATACATTACATTTCTAAATGAGCTATAAAAATACAATACCTAAATAAGAAGAGAAATATACATATCATAAAATTGACCTTAAATTGTATCAATAGATGAAAATCCATTCCAAAGCAAAGTATTCATTTCTATACCATAATCCCCCTGTTATCTTTAAAAAGAGATTGGTTGTGGTCATTAACCATTTATAACCAACCCCATTTAAATGAAAACAAACATTTTAAAACAATATTTGGGAATTTGGACTGGTTAATAAATAAAGCACTGTTGGCCAATAGGAAAGCTAGATAGGCAGGGCTAGGAGGAAAAAGGAAAGAGGAAGGAGGAAGGAGAGGAAAAATGGAGAGTCTGGAGAGAACAGAACCGCCAGCCCCTCTCGCTGGTAATACCATGTGGAAATACATAGAAATGGGTTAATACTTAAGACAGAGCTAACCAATAAGAAAATAGTAACTGGCCAACAAGTACTCACCCTATACACCGGCCACATCGGCCACGTGCAAATTTCCGAATGCAATAAACAGGGGACAAAGGATGGCTCAGGTGACATAGTTCACTGCTCACAGTAGCTATGGTAAGAGCCAGATCTATGGTGCACCAAGAAGCTAGCAACTGGGGTGTTAAAGATGTCTCAGCCGGGAAAGTTGGTTTATTTCCACGTCTTCATTTGTAACAGGGTGCTGTATTACCTCAGAGGGCTGTTCAAGCATTCAGTGAATGTCTTGGTGAGGATTTAGGACGGGGCACAGGATATGGATACGCTAGTTATCCTCAGCAGCACTCTCAGCTCCATTATTGCTGTTATTCATACAATCATCATGAATTTGTATTACTATGTATGAGGCACCTGGCTGCTAAAATGGACACCACAGGAAGGGATCAGTAGGAATTCATTCACACAGGCAAGCCCTGCTCTGCTCTCAAAGATCACAGAAGTCAGAGCTGTGATATATTCATGTTGTGCTGAATAGTTGTATGTCAACTCTACATAAGCTAAAGTCATCTGAGAGGAGGGAACCTCAGTAAAGGAAATGGCTGTAGATCAGGCTGTAGGCAAGTCCATAGGGCATTTTCTTAATTAGTGATTGATGGTGGGTGGTGTCATCCCTTGGCTGGTGGTCCTGATTTCTTTAAGAAAGCAGGCTGAGCGAGCCATGGAAAGAGAGCCAGTAAGCACCACCCCTCCATGGCCTCTGTATCAGCTCCTACCTCCAGGTTCCTGCCTGTATGAGTTCCTGTCCTGACTTCCTTCAATCATGGCCTATGATATGGAAGTGTAAGCCACATAAACCCTTTCCTCCCCAACTTGCTTTTGGTCATGGTGTTTCATTACAGCAATATTAACCCTAACTATGGAGGTGTTTTAAAAGCACATTCACTTTTCTTTAGTATGGAATTAGTACATACACATTAGTGAAGAAACTGAAAATACAGACAGCACAAAAAAGACATTAGACCTTTTTTCCGCTCTCTAAAAGGGACTAGAAAGTTAAGACTTGTATATAGTTCAAGATAAAAATTAAGGCTCTCCATGTATCTTCAAGACTTGGTTTATTAGAAAACAACTATAGCAATCAATTTGAAGTATCATAGGATAGTACTTAAAATCATCCCTTAGTACAAGGACACGTCATGTCACTGAGACTCTTGTAGAGAAAGGCTTGTGATCACTGTCTGGGAAGTGGGTTTTCTGAAGGCCAGCAAATCTGACAGTTAAGATTCTGCCTGGGATTTCTTCTAGATAATGAGTACAACTTCTAGAAGGAAGTTTCTCTATAATGCAGAGAACATTTAAAATTTACTTCAAGCTCCATTGTAAAGGAGAAGAAGTTAAATGATTTGCTCCAAGTCCCCTGGAGTGGGCATGTTGCCTTGGGCATATCCCTCTGTGCCGTATTGCCTCATCAATGATGAGGCCACACATGGCCTTCCCTCCTACATCTTCCATCTCCCTAATACATAATGGATGTTTAATGCCAGATTACTCCCAGGTGAGAGACTAATGGGGCCGAGGTGAGCTGAGCTAGATTTTGCCACCTTTCAATGGTATGCATCTGAAGTCAGAGACTGAATATATTCTTGTGTGAACTTATAGTTGAGGATAAGGCAGGGCAAGAGTGCACTTCTTAGTGACATACCTTATTTGCCTGACCTCCTTAAGATCCCTGAGGTGGGGCTGTGAAATGCAGGAGGGGGCAGGGCACCTCTGTGAGTTGGGTTAGTGAGGGGTCAGCATTCATTACCTTTGCTGGGGGAACATTTACTCCAGGTTCCTGCTTCTGCCTGCCACCCTGTTGCCCCAGCAGAAACAAATGCTCGATTCTGACAACAGGCTTTTCGCCTTGCACAGGGACTTCCTTTAATCTAAGTGTCTAGTGTCATGGTCCATGACCTTCAAAGACTCCTGTTCTGCCCCAACTCTCAGTCTTTCCTTATCCACAGATGGAAACAAGGCTTGCTCATACCCACTCCGGCTTATTCTGGATACACTTTATTTGTTTAATGAATGTTTTGCTGCCCCCCCACCCCCACCCCGACACTGGAGGCTCTGAACCCACTGGACTTCTGTTTCTCTAGAGGCCACCATAAGGCACTTGACATTCAATAACACTTCAGACTTGACCTGACTTTAGAAATTTCATCCAATTCCCCATGGGGTGTGTCTGAAGTTAAGATGGAAGGTCTACTTTATTGCATTCCCTCCAATGCTAATAAACACATGGGCAAGCTGCATGGACTCCCTGGGACTCAGGATGTTCTCTGTAGCTCAACTGAACCACTGTCTGTCTTTTACCATCTGTCCTGGCTGGTCTCAAGTCCACTTGACACGTGCTAGAGTCGTCTGAAAGGAGGGAACCTCAATTGAGAAAATGCTTCCATAAGATCCCACTGTCAGGCATTTTCTTAGTTGGTGCTTGATGTGGAAGCGCACAGCCCACTGTGGGTGGTACCATCCCTGGGCTGGTAATCATGGGTTCTATGAGAAAACAGACTGAGCAAGCTCTGAGCAAGCCAGCAAGCAGCACCAGTCCAC